GTAACAGCTGTAACTATTGTTCCTGTTCTTACAGTTCCACACATTAAGAAAAGAAATAAAAACAAAGTGCAGTTTGAATTCGTACCATTTGTACAATTTCTGCAGCCGATTGCATTAAAGAATGAAAGAAAATAATTCTGCAGAGAGAATTTAGTAATTTAGTAATTATGGCTCACAGTACCTCTTTACTAATCAAAGGTCCAATTGGTTTGCCCTATTTTAGTTAACAACGTTCTCATTTTAATTATTTTCTGTTCCTACGTACACTAAAATTGAGAGAAACTTCATACAAGTATGATCAAGTGCTTAAAGTTGCACTGTTTTCTTTTTTTACAAATGCTTCAATAATTTCACAGGTGTTTAACAGTGACAAATAAAAACTGTTCTTTCAAAACCCAACTACTACTTCTCCAGGTATTTCATCCCTGCTGCTCAAAAGATCTGCAATTTATAAACTGGCAACCTGTTAACTTCCCAACTGCAGACAAATTCACTTTTAAAAAATTAACCTTTTGCCAACAATGCTGTGACCACTATAAATAAGCTTCTAGTTCAATAGCAGCAAGTCAATAAGGATTCACTGTGCAAAGAATGCCAGTGCTATTGGTACAGATTCAACCACAGATGAGCATTATAAGATTTCATGAATGCTGAATAACACTCTTCTCTCCTTAAAGTGATTGTTGGAGCTGAGAGAATGATGTTAATGATGCTGAGGAGCAAAGTTCAGTTCCATTACATGTACACTAAGCTTTCCATGGCCTAGAGAAATTCAGGGAGAAGTATTAAATAGGGCAAGAGATATAAAACTCATTGAACCTTCTCCTTCCCTCCCTCCACAGCCCCAACCAAAACAAAATAAACTGTAAAAGCAGTTGTCACCTTTCATATTTTTATTATGCATTTTTTCAAGTGGTTAAAGACAGCAAACAATAGCGTATGCATTGAAGATATGCAATATGGCATATAGTAAGATGTGGACAGATTCCAAAAAGTTTTTATGTTCTATTTCAAACAGGCAAAAATCAAAAGTTTTATTTCATTAAATGGAAGAAAGGCACAGAAAGTCAGCCTCGAATCACACAAAACAAAGGCAGAAATCGAACCTGACCTTCTAAATCTGTATGATAAAAAAAGTACTGTGCACTTTTGATAACTCAAAACCAGGTAAAATTTATGAATCTAGTTAGTGATCGACAGCTTGGTTTTATTAAAAAAAGTTCTCCAATTCAGCAGGAATGCAAATGTGAAATTCAATCAAGTAATGGATACAAAGAAAACAAGCCCAAACCTTTTTCCTCCTTCAACAGAGACCATCAGACCAGCCTGTTATAGACTACTCTTCTTTCTTTCCTTTATGGATGCATACAAGTTCATAAAACCATTCTCAGCAGATGCAATTAAGTTGTCAAGATCATAATGAACTTCAAAGGTGGGTTTTGTCCTAAAAATTACAATAGCAAGAAATACAGCAAGATGTGCAGTAAGTCCCCATATCTTGAATGACTTTTTACTTTCGTGGTCATCATATGTAAAGCAGTGCATCCAGCTTAAGTAACCAGATGAGTTTTTATACGGCAAGGCCACGTAATTTAAGGGCTTGATAAAGTACTCCAGTGGCACAACAAAAACATCGCTCACTTCATCTGGATTAGGAGAGGCCTGGAAGGTATCCTCTATAAATCCTACAACTGGCGTTATCAAATGATTCATCTAGAAGAACAAGAAGAAAAAAAAAAAAAGACAAAACAAACAGTAAGCTTGAACCAAGCAGAAGAAATTCCTTTATTTTAAAAACATTTCAGATGTTACAAAAGGAGCACAGGAAACAATCTTAACTAGAAGATATATGCACTTTTTTTTTGGAGCTGGTTGTTTACATTCATCCCCTCTTTCAAAGGCAGGGGCAATTTATTTAAAATAGTAACTTGTACGAACAGCATACCGTAATTCTTTCAGACCTATTACTAATTCCATTTATTAGTAACATTAAAGCATCCCTGCTCAACAGAAAGCACTGATGGCAAAGCTCAACATCTGTGTTATTTGATGGAAGTCTGGAGGGACTCCATTTAAATTAAATTGCTTTGAATGTATGCGTAGAGAAAACATAGCACAATCTAAGCGCCCAGACTTCTGCAGTCCAAAACCACATAACCTGAAAACTGAAGTGATCCTTTTTACATATAGCCTCTGAAGTATGTGGTTTTTATGTTATTTGTATTAAAAAAAGTTAACTAAAGCATTTTGCAATGCAATTTTAATATTTTTTCAAACGTGAGGAGCACACTGTTGAAAGTAAGCAGCTAACAGAAACTGATTGTTGACGCATTAATAAGAAAACTTACCTGAAGAACAAAAAATCAAGACTTTTGAATAATTTTCCCCTCTATTGGAAAACTGGTCCCACATGTTTTCATGTGGGACTATATACTAAATATCATGATACTAAATATCACTATTGAAATTGGCAGCCTGTTACTTTACACACAACAACTTCAATGCCAATAACATCTTAATTTCCATACAGAATCATTCTACACAACTTCCAGACGTCCCTTTCAATCTAAATTAATCCCGCTCTGAGCATGTTGTTGAATCAGGTAACTCTGAGGTTACATCACAGTGCTCAGAGCTGTGCCTGGATAAATCCTGCCAGTTTCCTAAAAGCCAAGGCAATCTATTCCACTGCTTGTCTAACTGCATGGTGAGCACCTGTTGCTACTTGTGTCCATAGTGTCAAGACAAGTCTAGTGTCATCTTCTGTATAACCACTCAGGAGGTGCTTGAAGATGGCAATGAGATCCCCCACTAACTACAAGCTGAGCCAACCCACTTCTCTCAGCCTCTACTCCTACTTCACATTCTCCAGCCCACTTAGCATCTCCTTGGCTCTCTGCTAGCCTCTCACCCATTTACCACTGTCTTCTGGATACTCTCCAAGTGGACTTCATAAGTGGCCTCACAAACTCCAAAAAGAATCTCTTCCCCTCACTCTGCCAGCAGCACAGGCTGTATATTTTAAGAACCTATGATTATTTACAGTTACAGGTTTGAAAAGGCCATTACCAACCATATGAAAGGAAATTACTTGCTTTCTAACAATACACTGACAGAGTTTATTGCTTACTTTATCAATCACAGGCACAAGCCTACACATGACTTCCACCTTCTCCGGCTGCAGTCCCACTTCTTCTTTGGCTTCCCGGAGAGCAGTATCAATTTCATCTTTATCCCTTTCTTCCCTTTTACCTCCTGGAAAACACACCTCCCCAGGTGATCTTCTCAGCTGGAATTTAAAGGAGTTACACATCATAAGTTTGTTTCACCTCGCGCAGCTCACATTACAGAACCATCTCAGGCCCGAGGTTTCTGCAGACAGAAGAAACAAGCCTTGTTAAGAGCTACACAGGAAGGCGCTCAGTTTTACACGCTTGTACAACACCCCGTAATTCACTCTCTGCGTTCTGCTTTAACATTTCAGAGCCGGAAATCACCTCTCACTGCCGTACAGATCGCCAGGACCCGGCCCGCACACACCTGCACGGAGCGCACGGTGAGCAGCAGGCACAGCACGCCGTCCCGCAGCAGCAGCGGCAGCAGCACCGAGGCCTTGCGCAGAGGCAGATGGGAGAACTTGTCCCCAACATCGCACTCCCTCAAGCGGAGTTTCGCTTTCTCTTTTATACTCTCTCTGGAAGAAAACGGAACAAGAGCTGCGACGCCCCGCGCTGTATGCGGCCCATGGAAACGCAGCGGGGCACGGAAGGTGAGGGCCGCGGTCCGGCCCTCAGCTCGTCCCGCCGCTCCCGAGAACGAGATGAGCGGGCCCCACCGCGGCCGGCACCCAGCGGAGAACGCGCGCGGCGCCGCCTTCCTCTGCAGCGGACCCAGGAAGGCGGCGGCCGGCCCCATTCTTCCTTCCGCCGTCCGTCGAGCCGTGGTTTACCCGAGCCGGGCGGAGCGCTCCCCTTCCCGCCCGTCCTCCCGCTCCGCTGCCGCCATCTTTGCCACCCGCGACGCGAGCGCGACTTTTCCCCTCGCCTCTCACCGCCCTCTCTTGCAGACTGACGACGGCTCCCTCCAATCAACACGCGAGCTCACCGGGATCCGCATTCTGATTGGCGGGCAGACAGAGCAAGGCGGGGGTCGCAGGTGAGGCGGCAGCGGCCTTCCCGCTTCCCGCCCAGCGGCGTTGAGGCGGCCGCCGAGGAGAGGCTTCAGCCAGTCAGGCACGGAGCAGCCCGGGGTGAGCAGACGAGCCATCACAGCCTTCCCGCACGCCAGCAAGCGGGGAAGGGTAGCGCTAGGTGTCAGCTGGGAAAGCAGAAAGTCTCAGAACGAGTCGACATCGTCCCCCAAATACGGCGCTGCGGGCTCCTCCCCCTGAGGGGAAAGGCGGCGCCCTGAGGGGCGGGGCGCTGCGCGGGACGAGGAGCTGCGCGTGGAGTGCGCTGATGGAAAGGCAGGGGACGAATGTGGCTCGTTGAAGCAATACTGGCTTGGCATAAAGGCTTAACAATGAATGTCATTGCTCACCGCAGCTCGGGGAAGATGCAGCACAGCAGCACGAGAAACACCTGAACCAAAGGAAAAGCAAATAAAGCCCCAGACTCTCCCCCCAGTCCATGGCACTGGAGATGATGAGTGGTAATTCACACTAATTATGTGGATGATTACTTTTTTCTCTGTTGTTTAGCCTGTTTAACTACTCACAAATGTTTACATACTTAAATTTGTAGCTTATGTACAATGCCCGTGTTATTTCTTACAGTAAATAAAAACTCAGACATATTTACATGCACATCCTTTCTGTATCCACTTTGTTCCGATATCAAGTTTATGACCACTGTTCTGTTCTCATTCCACTGAAACACCTGAAAAGTGTCATTCATCCTTAATCACAAAATTATAGGAAAAAAAAACATGCAGAAGTTTGTCTTTAGAAATGCATTCATTCCTCAGAGTAGTGCTTCAGTGAAATGAGCATGGCTAGTAGATCACTTCTTCACACACACAGTACAGGCCAGTGAGCTGTTAGTCCAGAAGACTGATGATGTCAGATTTTGTATTTCTCTTTGGCTTTCTCTTTGAGAATGCAAATGTGCTAAAAAAAACAAAAAACAAAACAAAAAAACAGAGAAAAAAAGTGCAGCTTAAGTCAAACTTAACCTTCAAAGGTAATTTAAAGAGTATTTTAAGTTACATTCCTACTTGCATTCTCCTGTTGGAACTAGAGCATAACATTTTGCAAGTTGAGTTACGCTATGCTTGCTGTGAAATGTCCGTTACACTGTTTTGCAATATCTCACTGTGTCTGTAACAGAACTGGTTTGTCATATTAAAGACTTTCAAGTGAGACACATCTAAACAGATTTATGTAAATGCTTATAAAAACTGTGAAGGGGAAAAGAAAATAATCTCTCACTCTCAGAGTCTAAGTATATCTACAACTCAGTGCAGCCTAAGGAGACTATAGCAGAACCAAGGAGTTGAGGTCCTGATTGACACATTCTGCAGCATAGGAAACACCTTCATACATAGGCCAGTCTACTGCCAGTTTTGAATATTTTACTAGAGAAAAACAGTATAGGATTTCACAAAGAAACATGAAATCAAAACCAAATTACAAATTAATTTCTTTTTAGATGCAGTGTGCAGAGTATGCTGCCAACCGTCCTGCAGGATTCAGGATACTGTGTGGCAAGGCTGAGCTACTAGGCTTGTGAAGCAGATTCATAGACAGGTAAGACATGGACTAGTAGTCCTGCATTTAAGTTATCATCTGATGATATTGTTTTTGCCCTTTTCATGAAACTATCTAGTCAAATTTGAAGTTTTGTTAGTCGTCCAGAAGCACCTACTATAAGGTAATATTCATTACTGTTACCACAGGTAACTAACAAGCATGTAACAGTCAAGGTACATTCATATGTACTTACATTCAGATCTCTGAAGTACTCATTATAGTCAAGGGCATATCCAACCACAAACTTATCTGGAATTTCAAAACCTATATCTGTAAAACAAACACACACCACAGGTCTTTTTTGATTTAGGTAGTAGAAATATCTTTTAGGTCCACAGTTTGCATTCACCTTATGGTTCATCTGTTTAAGCATAATACTAAGAAATATTTCATCTTGCTTTCGAGGTACTTAGAATGCTTAACATTTAAGAGTCAGAGCTGCGAATTGATGATCGATGTTAGAATCTATGCCATCTTTATCAATTAATGTTATATGCATATTTTTTCATAGAATACATTTAAAACTACTTATGAAGCATAAAACCGATTGTCAGTTTTAAAGCTTTTATATATTTTCTCCCTATTTCTTTTGACCTTCCTGAAACTTACATACTAGTTTTCATATACGTGAAATGAAATCCTATTTTGGACAACCAAATGCAGTACTTACAGTCTGGTCTGTAACCTGGACTTCGGTTTGTCATTTTAATGAGCAAGCTGTAATAAAGAGGAGTGAAGGTTAAGATTTTTAAAATGTCATACTCCAAGCTCTGTTCTTCACTTCTCCCTCCCTTCCCGAGTAAGCTTCTATAGTAAAGCAGTTAAAATAATTTTATTGTTTTATTTTACCAGATTTAGTAGTAGTTTTCAGCCTTATAATAGAGAAATAAATGAAGGCTTGAATCTAGGATCATTCAAAAAGTCCAAATGGTATTTATTGCTTTACATTGAAAGCCTTTCAGTTTTGCAAATCATTTGTTCCTCCCTCCATATAGTTATGCATCAGCAAAGTAGGGAAGTACTGATAGATGGGGAAATTCAAGCAGCATTTAAAGGTTTTAGGGGAGAGAGAATAGAGACAACTACAAGCTGTGAGTTGTTACTCCAATTCCTGCCATAAAGTCATACCCATCCCTTATTTTCCTGTGCACTTCTGAAGATGCTGGGAACCTGGAAGGTTGCTGCAGGGAGCACAACTGATACGTTAGACCCCAGAAGTTGGTCTATGTGGATATTCTCACATAATTCCTTTTAGATACCAACCAAAAGCGGGTCTAGAATGCCTCTTGAAGTCATTTCGTAATTGCTGACAAACTCTCAGATTTTAAAAACTCAGATAATTAAGGATGGATATCGAGAAGGGGCAAAAAGTCTTGTTATCATTCTAGTATTGAGGCAGCTGAAAAGGTGTTAGGAAACCTATGGAAAGAGCTGTTTTCTTTTGAACATAAACATAATACATCAGACTTTATAGACTAAGCAAAAAAACATGAAACTTTTTTATTATTTTAACAATATATTTGTGCGTATCTTGATAATTCACCAGTGATTTTCCTATATCTTATTACCACACATTAATAAATAACCATGTGGTTATACCTTACTACTTTTATCATCTTTGGTTCATTGTCCTTCAGTTTTGAAAGCAGAGCCTTCATTGTTCTACCAGTCTCAATAATATCCTCAAAGAAATAATAAAAAAATAATCATTCAAGTCTGAAAGAAAAAACATATTTTCAGTATATTAACGTAAAGCAGAAAAAACAGCAGCTCTAGGATGCATTAAGATGATATGCATACTTTAGCTAACGTGATTAAATGTTGTTTTAAATGTAATTAATATTAACCTTGCGAAGTAGGCAGAACAACACCTTCCCTTCCCCCCTCCCAAAAATAAGAGGTCATTACTCACCTCTACTACTAGCACGTTCTAGAAAAAGAACCACATAGGGAAGGAAAGAAAAGGAAGTATTTTATTTATGTGAAGAGCTTCAGCAAATTAAACAGCCAAAAAAAAAAAAAAAAAAGTTTGTATTAAAACTTCACTCACATGTAAGTTGTAATCAGTTTTCAAAGGAGCTTGTCACTTAGCTACTTAGAATTACTTAAATACTCGGATTTTATTGCTTTCTTAAGAGTTCTGAAATTGTGTATAGAAAGATAAAATATTGAGAAAACTATCAGGTCTTGTATAGTATCGTGTGTATAGGAAGAACACTCTGAGAATATATTGCATGCATCATTTAAGATGGTTCATTTCTGTAGGTTGTGGGAAGAAACGGAACAGGACTTTAGAAGTATTTCAGTGCTGATCGCGTTAAGTTTCTACTGAGATACTGGGAATTACTGTTTAAAAGTGTGAATCATTATTATTATTATCATTATTATTAAAACTTATTTGTATGGTACCAAAATCTTAAGGGTAGACTTCCTGGAGGATACATAAGAACTGCTTTTTCTCCTTAAAACTGAAGTTCCTCAGTCATACCTTCCCATTTAATGCAGACAGTTCTTCTCCAACAATACTGATTTTCTCTGTGGGTGAATCGTTCTAGAAGGAGAAAGGGAAATTGACACAAAATATACTCAAAAGTACTGCATTGCATTTATGTAATGTGTGCTGCTTTGGCTGTTCACCTGTGAAATGACACTTGCAAGTGTACACAGCACTGCTTCAGTAAGAGAGCTTTTACGTAGTTGAGAACAAGACAAGGACGTGAAATATCAATGCAGGCATGTTTGCACAGAATGTTTCTGAACAAAAATACATTCATGTCCCAGAATAGGTACCAAGTAGCTTTCAGCTATTTTTGTTACTGCCAATTTGTTTTAGAATTTTATGAAATAAAATGAAATAAAATAAGATATTATAAACTGATGTATTTAACATGGGATACATTTTTATCAGTGCACAGGGCTTAAGCCTTCAAAGTGAGGAGAAGGTGAAATAGAGAAAATTCTGTAAGTCATTGTTTTTCAGTAGTTGGCTCAGACCAGCCAGGGTTGATTGAGCAAGCTTCCACTTCCCCAGCACATAGATTTCAAAAACAAATCTCTGCAGGAATGGCAAGCAATGCAGCTAGTAAGTAAGTCTCTGATGCTAAGCTCCTCTCCACTCTCCCTCTTAAGAAAGGCTGCCATTTGAAAGAGAATAGAACCTGTATGGAAACAGCAGGCTGGAGAGGAGGACACTGAAGATCTGACCCTAACTTTGTCACATGAAATGTCCATCTATACACCAATTACTGTAAATTTACAATATCCTTCTGATCATTGGGCTGATCAGTAAATCAATTTATGAACTGCTTTTCAGAACAGAAGTTGCTCTAAACATGATAAACTCAGTTTCTGTGGAACTTCCTTATAAATATTTAGTATTCAGAATGGTAACATATGAGGAGAATCAATTTTCCAAGGAAAAGAAACTTACTTACACAGTAACTTTTTATTCTAACAAAATCCACAGTAATAGGCACAGACTTATCACCATTTTGATTTAGTGCTTTTATGTGATCCAGCAAGTCAGCAAAGAACTTATAGCCTCCTTTAAGGACACAGAGTGCAACAATGTGGTGGCTTCCCATATCTTGCATGATATCTCTAGCCAAACGTTCTGTCCTGGAAGAAAAAAACCAAACCCTAATTTCTGTAAAGTGTTTTGAACATCATATTTGTTTGTTTGTCCACTTGCTAAGCAATGTCCAGCCGTTTTGGTTTTTGTTTTTAATAACTAAACTGTGACTAGATTAAGACCCTGGCAATCTAGTTACATATATGCAGTTAAGTTCACCAAATGACATCTACTCTGTCTGACGTACTACTGATTTAAGTCGTATGTAAATAACATGGAGATGGAAAGCTTAAAGATATTTGAGGTAACAGAAACTTAGCTGAAGTTATAGAAGAGTCCTCTCCATAAAACACCTTTTGTATTAAAATCCAGAGAACTTAATTTTAGAGCCACAGAGTTTCCGTACTTCTTATGGGCTATACAGACAGGATAGCGCAGCAATCTTTTCTTTTGGAGGGAAACTAGTCATTGCCATCAATACCACTGCTATTTATTGTTCTCGTACCTGTCCAGGATTAGTCCGTGAGGAATGAAGACTCTTTCTATATCTTCTTCATAATGCTTAGGAATGCAGAACAGGTTTTTGTTATAGCCACTGTCTTCATCTTTTATCTGAAAAGGAAATAGCTAAGAGTGAAGATGGAGCCATTCAAAGGCGAGAAAAAGAGAAAAGCTTTACAGTCTAGCACAGAAAGAAAGGACAGAAAATCACCTTATCTCTTCCCTCTATCCTCTGCACAGTCATAGCCTGCTTTGGATTTAAAACATACTCAAAGTTACAGATTAGTCACTTAAAGGCAGAAAATAGCAAGAGAAACTCACGAAGAAGCAATATGAGTAGACTTAACTTTGAGATGAGCAAGTCAGGAGCAGCACGTTCCCAATACCTTTTTTTATTTAGCAACAAAGTGGATGGGTACTCCAGGAGAACACGAAGTTTTAATGTAATGATGGTAGTCTGCCCTCTTGCTGAGACTGTAAGTCAGACTTTGGATGCATGATGCTCTGCTACCAACTGAGCATCCTTCCATTTTTCGAAACAAACTTCAGAACCAAACATTTGTTGGCTTGCTAACGGACAGCACAGAGCTACGAATTTGGTAGCGATAGAATAAAGTGTTGTGAGCCGTGAAGTTAACACCTGCTTTTTTTGGACATAGGAGAGACGAGTTCTTAAAAAAAAAAAAAAGGACTGTAGGGAATAGAAGTAGTTTATTACTTGCAAAATTTGTAACAGTTGCAATGAGATAATCAATTATCACCTTCTGAATTGTCCATAAATCCACTTAAGGATTAAATAAAATGGACAATTAGCATAAACTTCAAAATATTAGAAGGTTGTAATACAAGGTAATGCACATTGTTCAGCCTGGATGAGATTCTAAGCATTCTGCAAGTGCTCAAAATTAATAGGCCTTGATGTTTCTAGTTAAACTTGCAAGAATATTCTTGCAGTTGATAGTCACTAGTCACAACCTAGTATGTCAGTGCTGCTTTTTTGCCTCTTTTAGTTACTGTTTCCCTCATGTCTGAAGTCAGTGAAATGAAAGCTCAGATGAGGGATTGTTTTCAAGTTTATTTATGCCTTATTAATCTTGCAGGAGATACTGGCAATTACACTGGTATCAGCTGTACGCTTTGCCAGTGGTAATGTAACTTCTGAACAAAACAAATCTTGAAGCATACAGGCATGCATTGTGATAGTTGCTTAATCCAACAGCACGGTTTAATACCTTTTATTTGGTTAATAATTGTGCTTATTAAGACAGTTTTTTTGAAAACAAAGTCATTACAGTAATGTTTTGTTTTCTACTACGTCTAAACAAAGTAAGGTCTACTGAAAGGTTCATAAACAGAACATTAAGGATTGCCTCAGTTTGAGCACATCACCATAGCAACATGCTGCCTGTACCTTACAGGCTCACAAAAGCACTTGTATCATGGCACGTGCTAAATAGTACAGCAGCATCCTCTTATAATAAAGAAGCCTACGAAGCTGTAACACAAGTCATTGAATTTATTTAATCATGAGCTCATACTCATGGAATTAGTTGTTTAAGTGGGATTCATTCTCATTTTCTGTTCATTTATTGATGTAGCCAGATTTCTTAGTTACAAAGTGATAAAAATTAAACCAACAAGCTACAACAGTTGGATGCAGTGAGATTCCTAAGTATGTGTTGTTTCATCAGCACAGAATGAAAAAACACAAACATAAGTACATTACAGTTAAATACAGATTGTCACATTGGTAAATAATTGAGCTTAAGACATGCATCTGTTATAAAAACTACTATGAAAGATGAATTTTTTTAGTAAGAATAGAAAAAATGCTTTTAATTTTGTCAATATATCTAAAAATGTATATATATATATATATTTGGCTGTAATTAACCTTCCCCCATCTTAAAAGCTCTCTTCAGTTAGATAACCAAATATGAATGCACCGTGCTTTCTTACCTGCAATCCACAAGCCATAATCTCACTTTAAACTATATTACCAGAGAATGAGGTGGTGTTATTATTGCAGCTTGTCTTGCTTTATTTTCATCCTGCAGTTAGATCATGACCTGCTTCTCAGCAAGGTCAGAACTGCTATCCTTCCTAGAGGAAGCGTTACTTCCTTCTACTAATGTACTGACATCACAATCCCAGGTTTTTACTTAATTAGATTAACCAGAAATAAAATGGGCATTAGTCCTGCTGCAGCCAATCAAGAGTAAATAGAATGGAGAATGAGGGAGATGCAAAAGGAAAGTGCATGAATCAAATTAGTTAAAATGACAAGGCAGGATAGCATTTTTTAAGTGAAAACAGAGATCTGCTAATTGCTTGTAGCAAGTGGCAGTTCAGTGTTCTACGTGTAGAAGATAGTTTTGTATACCAATTTCTTATATAATATTTTTCTTTAAAAGTCCACGTATTTATTTTTTATTTGCTATAGAAAACTAATATTTGGATAAACAAAGCCAGCTTTTTCACAGTGACTTGAAGCAGAGGTCTGCATCTGTTGAGAGATGGTGAACCCAGGTCATCATTTTGTGGAGAGAGGTCGATAGTTCCAGTTCTGTACTCCATAACATTTTAAATCAAACAGAATTGACATTCACTGTAATCTGATTATTTTAATGTACCAAACCTAGTATTATCTAGGATTAACATGAAAGTCTTAGGTTTTTGAAAATTAATCCTACTAACAAAATGAGCTAAAGGCAGCTTGCACACATCGTGTTACAGAATGTTCTTACCAGATTGAGTACATTTTATTAATTCAACTATATGAGTGTTTTCTTGGTGGAGGTGGGGAGGAAGGGCAGAGTAACAAAAGAAGATTTTTCTCCGCGTCTTTGTAATACTGTAGAAGCTCTTTAGATCATTTCTGATAACATGGGATATTGCAGGAGCAGTCTTTGAAGTGGATTAATGGGCATATTTGCAATTTGCATTGATATCTTAAGTAGTATTTGGGAATTATTAATGCCTTGAGACTATTCGGCCTCTATTTTTATACAACAAACATTATCTTCCTTCCATGAATTCTGTATAATTTTCTCTACCTGGTATAAGTGAACTCCCTATCTTGTGAAAAGCCATGCTTTTCTATTTTCTAGCATAAGACACTGCTTTCTAACAGGTAGTAATTTGGGTTCAAAAACCTGGGATGGCAACCAAAGAGATTATTGTTATGACATTGCTTTATGATGTGGACAGCAGTTCAGCTGGAACAAGATTCCCCTTATTAGACTGGGCAAATAGGTCTATTCTGCTTAAATCCCCATAGATGGAAGTGCCAAATGGGCACCATGTGGCTTCCACTCCAGTATTTTCTGAATGGATTCATAAGAAATAGTCAGGTCAACAGCTGGTGTGGGGAAAGAAAAGATCTTGGAAACTCTCGGAGGCTTGAAATAAAAAAGTTTAGCATTGGACAAAATATACGCTTTCATTAAACTTAAAGCTGATTCAAGAATCCTCCGCTTCCTCTGAAACTGGGAAAACTACTTCTCACATCTTTATTTGAGCCCTAACAGTAAGTGCATACACTGCCACTGGGCAATTACTTGAAATTCCAGTAGATGTGTTAGTGGTCTCAGATGCTACTGGTCAGAGATTTACATTATGAAATTTAGTGCTACTGTGGGTGTTTTTATGAACACATTCTAAATTTACAGGTGAAAAGTTCAGCCAGTAGGTGTAGCTGCACAAAGAGACTGGAGATTAATTATATCAGCACTGGTAAAACAACAGCCAGTCAATGCAGAACAACACTGCTTTTGTCCTTGCATTCATTCCCTGAACTACTGAATCAATAAGTAGTTTTTACAGGACATTGCTGTTTACGTACTTGTCAGTTTGCTAAACAGCTCTACATTTTCTTACAGTTTGAAGGAGCTGTTAAGTGCAGCAGCAATTTTATATCTTCTCAAGAAACAGGTATGGGTTAACTCCTGTCAGGGATTTCCATTTAGTTATTTTAAATTGGGAAGCAAGTTCATGTTGCTGGATGCGTTCTGCATCTGTTCCATTATTTTACTAAAACTTTACAAATAAAACATTAGAGAGAGTGTCCACTAGAGGGAAGCCTCTACCACAGAAGGCAGTCCTTGCCAAGAAGAAAGAAAAAGTATGTATAAAAAAAAAAAACAACTTTCAAAAATAAGACCATGTTCAGGTAACAGATATACAGATCTCTCACTGAAATACAAATAAAGTCAGGTACATTAAAACAGGCCTCCTATATATTTAGACCAGTTTCTGAATGTGTATAATTGTAGATTATGGGAGAGCTGCTCTAATTGGCACCCCTGAAGACTTGATCCATGGATGATAAGAGGCTGATAAAGCATTAAATTAATGCTAAGAACTTTCATTTGGTGACCAATGTGTTATTAAGCAAACTGATTAATATCTATAGAAAAATTTCTATTTTGGTAATTTGGATCCCATCCTAAATCTGGATGCTTTAAGTCATAGATAAGACCAGCTACTTAACCAGCTTGCTAAAAAGCTGTTTGGAAGAAACACACAACACATCTGTGCCAAATACTGCACATTTACTTTTAGAAATTATAAACAATCTCACGACATTAAGTCTTTACTACATTTTGTGTACTCTACTACTATGGATTATATAGTTCCTTTACATAAAAAAATTGATTAGTATGAACATTCCTACTTTCCTTGGCTATTTTTCTTTTGGCAAATACAAGGTAAATTATTTCATTAAAGCAGAAAAGTGATTTAGGTCTTGGCCAATATTGGATGTCTATAAATATCATGCCTGAAAAGGTTTTCTGGTTTTACAACTCCTCTAGTACTGTAATGTTTAGGAAATGCTGACTGATCGATGGCAGAAATTGAAGGAAACACGCCAGTAAAAGGTGACTCAGATTTAAGTTTGAATATTTATTGTGAACGCCCCAACATCAGTTCTTAAATCCCAGTTCTGAAGACTCAGACATTTTGATCACTGATATGGAGGAAATGTACCATATTTACTGACCAAATCTTTCCAACCATGAAGTAAACGTTGGTACGACTGTTTGGAGAAAATCTTTAAATACATTTTGCCACATCAGTTTTATAGATAGAAAGAAGCACTTCAGTCTCCTGGACTGTCTGTATCGGAAAGTCATTTTGAGAGAGAATCTGGTTAGGACAGGGGGAATGGAGCACAGAGACAGAGAGCCAGGACTTCTGGGTTTTATTTGCAGCTCTGACACACTGTTTATTTGCTGTATGACCCTGGCAAGTTTATTTTCATGACCTGCTTCTGTTGTACCTCTGACCTTCCTATGCGCCTGCTTTTCCCTTGTCTCCTGTAATGAGCTGACCATGGTTTTCTGATACTTCTCTTCCATGTGCTGTGAAGGTCAAAGTTACTTTTGGGAAATTGCCATTTAAAAAAAAAAAACAAAACATTGCTGTCATTAGGTCAAATTAATGATTTGAGAAAGATTGTGTTCTATTTACTTGAATATTAAAGAATGGTTGTTCTAGTTTAATATGTCATTGAGCAAATATGAGTTGTTCCAGAGCTGCCATAGTGTTCAATGTGTCTCCCCTGCCAAAAGCTGGTGGAATTGTTTTACCTAGGGAGCAATGGGTGGTCCAGGAAGTGGTCTGCTTGGCTCTTGGGGAGCTGGACTCATCTTCACTGCAGAGATGTTTAATAGAAATATTTGTTGAACAATGGCTGAGTATGTGATTACAGCTGTTTTCTTTTAGCAATGTAACAGCAGTAACAATTAAATCCATATTCCTCCTTGGATATTTATTTTCCTGAATTCATTCTTAGTGCAGTGAAAGAATTTGATGGGAATTGCAAGAAGATAAAACTGTATGTAATTGATTTAGGATTACTTGTCTTACCTTTTTATGATTATATTATTAATTGAGACCTTAAAACATAGTGCAGAAATACATACCAAAGAGATGTCACAACTAAAAATACTCTAAAACTCTTCCCTTTATTTACAGCTAATCATTATTTTTAATTGTTAACAATGTTCTGTTCTGCAAAACAATGTTGGACTGCTAGAAAAGATAAATACCATCTTCCAATAACAGCATATAAGAAAAATGTGGAGTGTGCATTTTGCTAAAATAAAAAAAGGACTCTTTCCAAAATACCATGCAATTACCATATTCAAACAAAGATAGCTCATCTCAATCTAGAAAGCCAGCTATTTCAGTGCTGCCAATGCCTTTTGTTGAGATCTTGTTTAATGATACGACACTTTTATATGGCCTTGCTTAGAAAGATTTTACTGCTACTACTTCTGTTTACATATAAGCAGTTCCCATGGTTGGCAGCTTGCATCGAAAACCAGTGCTAGTGTGCATTGGCTGTTTGGTGTCACCTTCAATCTAAAAAGGAAATTCAGTGCTGGTCTTTCTATAGAAATGTAGCAATGGAACAACCCAAGAGAAAGCTGCTATTACTGATTTTTGATGCTTTGTTTCCTTCTTCCGTTAAGTTGATAGCATTGGTGACTCTTTGGAATCTGTTTACTTCATTTTAATTTTAATTTCAATTTTTTTTATTTCAGTGAATGCAGTGAAATACGATCTATTGGAGTTACTGTAGTCAGTTATCTCTACCAGAGTCCTCTGTAAGCAAAAGCTTCCAGACACTCTGAGTAATTCAGGATCATCACATTTCTCTTCTGCACATATTCTCCAATTCAGTTAATTGTTTTTTCTTCTCCCCTTAACAGCCTATATTCCAAATTGACAGTTTCTTGTATTTAGTGTGCATGTTTTGCCAGCCTTAAAATTAAACATGCCTTGTTTGTGGTACTTGACAGACATTACTGAAACAAGACAAAGCTGCAAAGTTGTTATGCTGGAGGCTTGCATTTAATTTTGGATTTCTTTCAGTAAATGTTTACATGTTAATAAAGTAACATAAATTTCTTATAAAGCCTCCTTAGGCAACATTTTTTTACATAGTAGTTCTGAAAGAGGGTAAGTTG